CCCACCTTATAAAATATTTTATCAACTATGTAAAAACTCAATTTCAAATTTGTTTAAAACCCTGAGGTCTAATAATGGTCTTGAATTCACCCTTCAAACTTTTATATGACCCAGGGAATACATCATCGAACTTTTTATGTTGACACACCTCAACAAAATGGTAAAGTATAAATAGAGCATCAATACTTCTTAGGGGTTACATGTGCTCTTTTTTTCCAATCTCATATACCAAAAATATTTTGGGCTCATGGAATTTCCATGCTTTATTTTTAATCAATAGACTTCCTTCTAAATTATTGCAGTATAAGACACCTTTCACTTTATTTTTTTTAATTTAAATTTTTATTAATATAGTCTTACAACTTTTGGTTGTTTATATTATGACACTAGTTCTAAATGACATAGAACCATACGTAACCCTTGTTCAAAAAAATGTGTTTACTCAGGTAATAAACACGGTGTTAAAGGACACATTCTCTTTGACCTTCACAAATAGACATCTTTTCCTATCTAGAGACACCATTTTCTTTGAGTATGTCTTTCCTTATTTCACCACCAAAACAAAGAACACCACCAGACCTAAACCTATCTTCCACCCAACCAACGATTTATCCCTATATTACATAGACAAACCAAATGCCCATTCCCATAACCCATCCATTCCTTTTTTAAATTTACTCATTAACCCTAATTCCACTCTACCTCCCTTTGACAATCCATCTCCATCCTACTAGAAAATCAACCAAAATCTCCAAACATCATAACTATCTTCAACATTACCAATTTTTAATGATTCAAGGTATTTTTTTCTCCCTCCTTCTTTATCATACAAGTAATGTTCCTTACCCTATTTATGATTTCATATCTTACTCTAAATTATTTAATAATCACATAACCTTTAACCTTAATTTATCCTTTACTATTGAACCCACGTGATATTCCTCTATCGTTCTTGATCCTAATTGGCAGGGAGCCATTAATAATGAGCTCCAATCCAAATTAATAATAAAACCCAGGACTTAACTCCTCCCCCCCTAAAAAAGGCATTAATTGTAAGTAGATTTTAAAACTAATTTCTTTAGCTAATTGTACAATAGAAATACACAAGGCACACCTTATTTCCAAAGGGTGCAATCAAACACAGGGTATATATTACCATGACACCTTTAGCCCTAGCATAGAAGAAGTTTATATGAAAATACCTCCTAGGCTGAAATTCTCTAACAAAAAACTTGTGTTGCAAGCTTAACATATCACTTTATGGTCTTAAACAAGTTAGTATGCATTGACATCATAAATTAACATATACCTTTGTTCAATTAGGTTTCACCAAGTCCAAATTAGACTACTTCTTATTCACTATGAAACTTAATTTACTGCCATTCTAGTTTATGCTGATGAGTTAGTTCTTATAGGTAACAACCTTCATGAGATCGCTCACATCAAACCTGTTATGGATTCAAATTTTAAGCATAAAAGACCTAATCAATCTCAAGTAGTTCTTAAGTTTTGAGGTTTCTAGATCTTATTATGGGATATCTCTTTTCCAACACAAGTATAACCTAGATCTTTTACAAGAAGCGACCCTCTTTGCAATCAAACCTTCCTCCACACCTATGGATCTTACTCACACTTAAAATATTATAATGCCAAATTACTTATGAATCCAACCCAATACATAAGTCTAGTTGGTAAACTTATTTATCTAACTCATTTCCTCCCTAACATAAGTTTTATGTATGCAAGACTCACTCAATTCCTTTCCAATCCTAGAGAGATACATATGCAAGCTGCCATAAGGATTATCTGCTACATAAAAAATATATAACCCCTAGACTATTCTTCAAGAACAAATGAGACTTAACACTTACTTGTTTTGGAGACTTTGATATGAGGGCTTATCTTATCACAAGACGCTCAACCACATGATTGTGCTTTTACTTAGGATTTTCACTCATTTCTTAGAAAAACAAGAAACATCATGTTGTAACTTGCTCTTCCTCTAAAGTGGAATATAGAGCATTTTCTAACAGCTCATGTGATGTCCAATGGATGTTGTAGCTACTAAAAGACTTTTCTATACTTCATAAAAAAACTAGTCACCCTCTTATGTGATAATAGAAGTCCAATTCACATTGCTATTAACTATGTTTTTCATGAGCGCACAAATCACATAGAGACTGATTGCCATGTTGTCCATGACAAAGTCCAAGTTAAAACAATTCACCTTATAGTCATTAACTCCTGCACCCAAGTAGCTGACATCTTTATAAAATCTTTACAACTGAGACATTTCAACAATCTAATTCACAAACTTTGATTGATTGACATTCTTTCCGATTTAAGGAAAGATATCAAATTCTAAATTATAATATTTATTTTTATACTTTATTTAGACTTTAGCATTGTTCAATTCTAATTAGTCTCTTAGAGACTAGTATAATTAGTTAGTATTGTGCTATACTCCCTCCATTCTTTTTTATAAGAAAATTTTGAATTTTTAGATTCATGGAATAAATGGTACATTTGGACTATATATAGACTAGATACATTAATTGTTCAATGAATCTAAAAAGTTAAAATTTTCTTATAAAAGAGAATGGAGGGAATATATTAGTAGAGTTTGTTAGAGTATTTTCTCCACTAATTAATTTCTCATTAAATTATTTAAATTAATTGCTACCATTTACTTCGAAGCATTTTTTATAATATAAAGTATTTTAATTCATCAGATTTTCTATTGTTTACTTTTTCTATCTTGCAAAGCTTCAAGTGTTAACAATTTTTATTTTCAATTTTGTAATTTTAATCTAAATTATTTTATTTTATTTTCAAAATTTCAATTCAAAAATATTTTTTTCAATTTTGTTTACCCAGTCAATTCCAATTTCAAATAATTTTCAACTCTCTAATTTAACTTTCAAGCCATTTATTTATTTTTTCAAAATTAAAATATTTTACACTTAATTTATTTAAATATATCATATTTTCGATTCAATTAATTTATTTTTAAAAATAAATCAATTAAAATCTTTTTCAATCAATTTTGAGCATAAAACTCAAATTTAATTAAAATATACTTTTAAAATAATTTTCTAAAACAAGTGTTAAGCGTTTGATTTACTAAAAATTAAGGTATTATAGACGATAATTTTTTCTGTATCTTATTTGATGTCGGAAATAATCATGATTATAAATAAAACATATATCAAAGAATTGAACAAAATGATGAATTCTCGTCCTCCATTAAATTATGGGTCAACTTTTTATCTCTGGTACAAATTATCAAAAAATATCGAGATAACTTTTTTTACTCTCTCCCTCTCCGATTAGTTAATATTTTAATTCATAAATATAATAATAATATTTTATATCAATAAATAATATTATAATAAAAATTATATTATTTTATTTAGTTCATCGACATATCAGATAAAATAAAGAAAAAAATCTCTATTTATCATTTTTATCCTCTACTCAATATTTAATATTTTAATTTATAAATATCATCATTTTATATATAAATAAAAAATATTATAGTAAAAATTATATTATTTTGTGTGTTGTATAAATATATTAAACAAAATAGAGTAGAAAAATCTCTCTTTTCATTTTTTTCTCCTTTTTATTATTTAATATTTGAATTTATAAATATTAATATTTTATATATTAATAAATAATATCATAGTAAAATTTATATTATTTTGTCTGGTGCATAAATATGTCAAACAAAATTGTGAAAAAAATTATCCAATAGATTAACTATCAAATACAGTATGATACAAAAAATTATCTTATACTATGTAATATTGTTCTATCAAATACTTCTTATTTTACGTATTAAATACACACTAATATCGTAAATATTAAAATTTTGTTTGAATCCTTATTAAAAGTTTATTTATATTTCAAATTTTATTTTCTTTCTTTAGAAAAAATTATTAAACAATGTTAAATTTTTTTTGAAGTGTAAACAATGTTAAATTAAACATATAATTTCAATAAATATTTTTTTACCCTAATTAAAACATTTGACAAGCTCACTGTTTTGCTCAAGTAGATGGTTTTCATGTGATTATTGATAAAATTATTAAATTAAAACAAAATTCAACTCAACTCAATTCAAATAAAATCAAATATCCAAAATATTACCAAATCATTTTATTAATATTAAATAATCCCCTTGTAAAAAATTACTAACAATTTAGTCTAAAAAATCTATTTAATAATTTCTTCTTCTTGTCCTCCTTTTTCATATACAAGGTATTTAAATACTTTCCATATTGTCAGTTCCTTTATTTATAAAAAATTGACTCAGTATTCTAGGTTTCTTCAAAGAGTTTTATATTTGTTAATTTTCAAATACATGGACATCTGGATTTTTTTAATATTTTTTTTGGATAAACATAAACATCTGTACTGTTCCCAAAATTAAAAATTATTTTATAAAGAAACTAAGTATGCAAAACATTTAGTTAATTAATTAATCAATGAATATTAAAATTAATTACATAGACAAGGTAAAGATGTATACAGTATATTTTTTCTAAAACAACTGCAGTTTAATTTTTTTTTGCAAGGTTCTTTGTATTCACAAATGAACCTGATGCTGAGCACAGTTGTCAAAATAAAAAAACAAATGAATTGAACTAAATAAGAAAAAGGAAAAGTAATTTACCAAAAATAAATAAAAAAAACTGAAAAAGAAAACTAGGGTCTGGTTTGTGGTATTGGTTTGGTGGAAGAATAATACTCCAAAAAAGAAACCCCACTTTGTATACATTGCACTTGAACACTTTCATAACATTCAGCTGCCCAATAAAACCCAACTCTTTCACAATTTCTGACATTCATTTTTTTCTTTTCTCTCTCTTTTTTTTACCCTATCACATAGGGGTTTCTCTCATGCTTTTTTGCTCTCAAGAGTTTTTATTCTCTCTTATAATCATCTTATTCTTGTTTGACCTTCTCTTTGGAGAACAGTTCAGATTTTACTTATCATGTCTAAGGTTTTTGGTTTTACTGGTATGACTTTGATCTGATTTGTACTTCTTGTTGATTTTTGGATTTTATTATGTTAGTTTCATAACTGAATTTTTGTTTTTAATTTTAATTTTTTTACCATATACATGAATTTTAAGTTATGATTTTAGTTTCATGGGTTGTATGATTTTTTTTTTTTTTTTTGGTTCTGGTTTGTTAGGATTTTTGTTATGGTTTTGAAAATTAAATTTCTTTGTTTTTATGGATCTGATGAGAGTTATATGAATAGATTGAAGGGCTAATATTTTTTTTTTGGTATGAGATAGTGATATAATTTAGTATGAAATTGTTTTTAGTTCAAAAAAAGATAATTTTGTTGGTAATATTTATTGGTCTTTTGTGAAAAATTGGATCATGTTCATGTATAAGATAGATAATTTTGTATATTTATATGAGATCAATAATTTTGTTCACTGTTTGTTTACTAGTGATTTATTGGATTTCATCAACATATATAGTTCATATTGTTTGTTCAATTTTGTGTGTGATGTGTTCAAATATTTTATTATTTATACAATATATGTTCAGTTTTTTTACTTTTTGTTTTGTTTTGTGTGTAACTCTTTTACTCATACATGATATTTCTCTAGTTTTACTGGTGGAATTTTTTATTATTTTTGTAATTATTATTTTTTTTTGTATGTGTTAGTTTATTTATTATATTGACCTTGTTTGTGTTTGGTTTTTCAGGAAGTGATGATTTTTGTACTGGGAGGTCAGTATACCTTAATCCTAAGGAAACTGGTCTCTTCTTGTCCCTTGGCTGTCAAAAATATGCTTACAAGCCTCGTCAGAAGAGATCTCGCGTTGGTGTTCCATTTGATTTCAGTGGAGATAAGTGGTTTGAGCCGAAGCCGGAGTCATCTATTGAAACATTGCCGGATGAATGCTTGTTTGAGATCCTTAGAAGGTTGCCTGCAGGCCAAGATAGGAGTTTGTGTGCTTCGGTATCCAAGCGCTGGCTTATGCTTCTAAGCAATATTTGCAAGGATGAAATTTGCAAGGATGTTGGTAGCGGAAATGGAAACAAAGATGGTGGGGATCTAGGATTTGGTGATGAAGGGTGTCTTTCTCGACGATTGGAGGGGAAAAAGGCGTCAGATGTTAGACTAGCTGCCGTTGCTGTTGGCACAGCATCTCGAGGAGGGTTAGGAAAGCTTTCGATTAATGGGTGCAATTCAGATTCTGCGTTGACTAATGCAGGTCTTAAGGCCGTTGCTCATGGCTGCCCTTCTCTAAAGATTTTCACTCTTTGGGATGTTGATACTATTAGCGACGAAGGCTTGATTGAGATTGCTAATGGTTGTCACCAGTTAGAGAAGCTTGACCTTTGCAAGTTACAGAATATTTCTGACAAGGCTTTAATTGAAATTGCAAAGAACTGTCCTAAGCTGACCGAGTTATCGATAGAGTCATGTCCTAGTATCGGTAATGAAGGTCTACCAGCTATTGGGAAGTGGTGTCCCAATCTAAGGTCTATATCTATCAAGAACTGTCCTAGAGTTGGTGATCTGGGAATTGTTGGCATGGTATCTTCAGCATCCTTTGTTCTAACAAAGATGACACTTGAATCGCTAGCTGTTTCTGATTACTCACTAGCAGTTATTGGACAATATGGATTTGCAATTACCGATCTTGCCCTTAATTCCCTCCCATATGTCACCGGGAAGGGATTGTGGGTGATGGGTAATGGCCATGCACTGCAGAAACTAACAACGCTCACAATTGGGTCGTTCTCTGGAGTAATAGATATTGGGCTGGAAGCTCTAGGAAAGGGTTGTCCTAATGTGAAAAACTTTCAGCTTCATAAGTGTGCTTTTCTGTCGGACAATGGGCTGGTATCATTCTCCAAGGCTGCCCCATCAATTGTGAGCTTACATTTGGAAGAGTGCCATAGGGTTACCCAATTTGGGCTTTTTGGCCTCCTTTATAACTGTGGTTCAAAATTGAAGGCTCTTACTCTTGTGAGCTGCTATGGGATGAAAGATCTGAAACTGGAATTGACTGCAGTATCTCACTGTGAATCTATTTCGTCATTATCAATCCGTAACTGCCCCGGAGTTGGTAATTCTACTCTTGCCATCCTTGGAAAGCTATGTACTCGGCTTCAGCGTCTTGAGTTGATTGGACTTGAGGGAATAACAGACACAGGGTTTCTTTCTCTGCTTGAGAGGTCTAAGTCCAGTTTGGCTATTGTTAATCTAAGCCGTTGTATTAATCTGACAGATGTAGGAGTTTCGACCATGGTCAAGTTGCACAGAAAGACTCTCAAAGTGTTAAACCTCAACGGTTGTAAAAGAATCGGTGATTCTACCTTGATGGAGATTGCAGGCAACTGTCCAGCACTCAGCGATCTTGATGTTTCCAGGTGCGATATCACCGATGATGGAATTGCTGCCCTTGCCCATGCAGTCCTGCCCAATCTGGATGTACTTTCTTTGGCAGGCTGCACCTTGGTTACAAACAAGAGCATGCCTGCTTTGAAAAAATTGGGCGATTCCCTCGAGGGATTAAATATCAAAAATTGCAAGTCGATCAGCATCTGCACCGTTGACAAGCTTATTGAAAGTCTCTGGATATGTGACATCCTCTTCTGAGGAGGTAGCCTTAATATCTATCTATACTTCTAATCAGTGTTGCATGGTAGTGTTTTTGGGTCCATTAATTATCGGTGGGTCTTGGTCACCGCAGTACTCGGTTCTCTTTTTCCAGAGCAAGCAGTTGTTCAATATTTGTTTTTACAGGTTTCCTTATAATTAGAAGGAAATCTGTTTAAAGTTTTTTGGCATCCTACTGGTAGGACGCCGCTTTTAGAACAGCTGTTTATCTCTGAGAACATAGCTACCGGGTTCTGGATTTTAGGTTTCTTTCTGATGTTGGCACCTGATATTTTTAGCTCTGCTTGGTATCGGTTTTGCCACCATGTTTTGTCGTTTCAATTTCATCACAGCAGTCTGTACCAAAGTTCGTCCAGAGTGGTTGGTGTTTACCATATTTTTCGCGTATTTGAACTACGTTCTATACACGATGTTTGTGTTGAGGTTTTAGTCAAGGGGCACGTTGAAGATCGAGTTTCCGTGATATTGTTATCTTGGTTACTATTGGCAGTTAAGAGTTATATGAGGCCATTTGTTTTCACTAGGGTTTTGGCCATGGCAGCAAACTATAATAGTTCTGTCATGACAGTCCTTTTCTTTTGGGAAGGATTGTTTTTTCCACCAAAGCTCTGGATTTTTTCATCTCTTGGCTTCATATATTCTGAACTTCTCATTGTAACTTCTTTATTGTATTATGTAATAATTCTCCAATTTGCCCTTTGTACTGAAATGTTAGTTTTATATTTATGAAAATTAATGAATAAATTATTTCTAGTACTTTTGTTGTCTCATTCTCAAAATCATGTCCCTGATGATATCATTGCTTACTAAACTACTATTATAAAGTTACTATTTAAAATGTGGAAATGGTCTTTCTCTACCACAGTAGCTTATTTTATACAATAGTTGACCTGACTTAACTTTGATTTTATCAGATTTTAAGCTAACTTATTTTTTAGATGTAGACAGATAGATAGAATTAAGAAAAGAACAAACTTTTGAGAAAATGGTTAGGTTCAAATACTCTAAAAGATGGCACATGTACTTCACATGTCCATTATCATAACGTAAAGCAATTATTGGTGCATTATTTGTGAAGCCACCACACGTATTTTTTCTTCATCTTTTTCAAGTTTTGGAGTGAAATATTAACCCTTGTCCACGAAGTTTCCACATCAATAATACACAACTGGGCCAACCATTGTTTATTTAGAAATAAAGTATACTAATTTTAATAGATGCACTTTTAGAAATAAATAAATAAATTTATATCTTTTTTCTATAAAAAGTTAGATGAAAGACAAAACATTTGAAGGTGTTGAAATTCAATTATGCAAGCACTTTTAAATTTGTTCAACAACTGGATTGATGAGGTTTTAGTGGAAAATCTTATAGTGGTTGAGAAGGATATCGAAGTCCAATGAATCAAAAGGTTCTTTGATGTTTGTTTGTTCTGTTATGATCAAAGCCTTTTAACCTACGGCTCAATCAAGAGATTTATGCATATTCTTTTTTTAAAGTTGAGTAGGATCATCGCCGAGATATGTTATCAGACATTTTTATTTTTGTTGAATTTTGTAATTGATTGTAATTGTATGATCATGATTAGGTGGGACCTATCATGTTCAGATTGTGCGGCAGAGAACCTATATTTAAGGAACAGATTCTGTATAAAATCTAGATTTGCGTGTCTTTGTATGGATACTTAGTACCCACGTTTTTATTTTTAAGATATATTAAAATTTAGTAAGAAAAAAATTATTTTATTAAAATAATTTATTATTTTAAATTCTTTTTGAAAATAAAATCCTAATTTTTTTATCAAAAAGATTTTACAACAATAATATAAATTTTAATTTTTCATATATTATCTTAAAAAATATTATATTTTAAAAAAAAGAGATAATAAATCAATTTAAAAGAGATAATAAATCACTTTTACAATAGTTAAAATTGTTTATTATTAAATATTCATATCAATAGTTTAATATTACTATCATATGCACGTGTCATATCAGTACTCCTGTATTCGTATGGATATTAGTATGGTATGCACACTTTTGTTTTCAAAATATAATAAAAATGTTATTAAGAAGAAAAAAATAATTTATTATTTTTAATAGAAAGACATAATTTTAAAATAAAAAAAATTATTTTACAAAAAATGAATTAATATATTATTTTAATTTTTTTAATTATACAAAAAATAAAATAACTCGTAAATTCCCACAAATTTTAATATAATTATTCGTGCGTTCATTTGAAATAATCACGGATACTGTGTGGTACGTGTAAATGTTACCGGATGTTTTGACTGATTGAAAAAAAATAAGGAATTAAAATAATCATTAGAGAAAATTTTATACATAAATTTAAATTCATAGATATTAAAAAATTCATTGAAATAGAAAAAAAAAAGACATTTATAAGGCATTTTTCTTAAAAGAATAGTTATAATATCTCTAAGGTATTTTTCTTTTAAAAAATAGTTATTAATAATTTTTTTAATTTTCAATATCATAAAATGTGAGGAGTGACAATATAATAAAATTTACAGTATTCAAAGGAAACAAGTGGATGAATAGACACTTTTGTGAGATACACTATTTATTCATCTAAAATTTTAAAGTGATAGTTGAGTGAATTCTCCCACTTATATATATGTTTAAGTCTCCACATTCTTATTCAATGTGGAACTATTTCCACACTTACTCAGAAGGGAAAAGACAGATATCAGGATTCCGACCATCAGATTGTTGCTGTAACAATTTCAATAGCTCCACCTCAACGTCAAGCATATACGCCCCGACAGAACAATCAGCAAAAACCAAGAATACCCCCTAGGAAGTTTGATGTGCTTCCTATGACATATGCTGAGTTGTTTCCTGAGTTGCTCGAGTTGAAGTTAATTGAGTTACGTACATGGAAAATTGACCCTGAAAAGTTGTCGGTTCACTTCGATGTTGTTGGCTGAAGATTTTGATGATATTATTAGAAGCGAAGCAAGTTGGATGTTTCGATTGGAATAAAGCAAGATGTCATGTTTCGAAATGGTAGAAGCAGTACTTCGAATGGGCATATTAAAGCTTGGAGCTTCGAGTGACAGTTATGGGAATATATTCAAAGAAGTCTCGAAATGGTAACAAGGTTGTGTCCAAGAAATGCGTTCGAAGCGAAGAAGTGCCAAAACATTTGAAATTCAAATGCAAGCGGGATGTTTGAAATTTAAAATCTGTGCGCTGGAGCATTTGAAGACGCGTGGAAGCTAGAGGGAGGCATTACTTTGCATGTTCTGAACGTGGCAGAATCTTATAGCAAGACCGTTATGGTCGAAGTAGTATAAATAGAAGTCTTAGCATTAGGATTTCGGGTGTCATATCTATTGTACAGAAAACTCAGTAAACATTCAAAATACCACATGGCTAGGGAAACGAATGCACGAGCAATGTACGTATGATAACACCAAGTGTTTATGATTTAATAAAACTCTTTATCATTTCCAGTATTTTCCTCTATCTTCATGTCAATATCATTCAAAAGCCTTTACATTCAAGTATTTTCATTCGAAGTCTTTTTATTGATGCCTCACATTTAAATGTTTTCTTTCCATCTCAAATACTTTACATTTCAGAAACTTTTGTATATTTCATGCCTTTATCTTCATGCTTTTATCATTCGAATACCCTTTTCATTTAAAGTCATTTTACTGATTTCTTGCATTAAAACGCTTTCTTCATATTTCGAATCTTTTACATTCAAGAGAATCTTTTACATTACATGCCTTTATATTTCGAAGTCATTTACTTGTCTTTTCTGCAGTTTTATATGTCTTTACAATTGAACTTTATTCATGCAATTTAGTTTCGCGCGCATTTACTTGATCATGTTATTAGATCTTTAATAGAGTAATCGAAATAAGTTAAACACCTACACAACATTCCAAATACCAACCATGAATACCAGTTCTATAATGAGAATTATCCAAATGACCAATACATCCTAGGATCAATCTAGTCGATCCTGCAAGTTACCAGAGAGATTAAATAACAGTCATTAAGAATATTTGATAGTTTAGAAGACTAGCGGTTGTTTACCAGAAATCACTGTAAACAAATTGGCACACCTGATGGGACGCGCCATTGGCCATTACGAAATTTAGAACAAAGTAAAACATTGTTGAGACGTAACCATTGTAAAAGTACTCTTTGAGTGATAAGTTTGTTGTTTTATGAACCTTAGAAGTGGTAGAATAACCAATAGCAACCAACCCTTATCCAGAAGAAAACGTTTAAACAAGATGTCTAATTCTGACAATCAACAAGGGGAACAAAATATCCCACATACAACAGGCACTAATATGTCTGCTTCGATGGGAACATCTAATGCAATCCCTTCGAATGCACAGTCTGTTGCATCCTCTACCAGTAATGTAGCCACTAATGGAACAAGTGGCATATCAACTAACAGTTCGATCCTAGGAAATACTGGAACCATTGGTTATCCTAGGGAATTCGTCCCACCATCAGGGACACAAACCCATTTCGCCACCCCACTAACTAGACCACCCGGTTTCGATGGTAATAGAGCCAGAAATTCCTCTTATGGAATGCCAACATCTTTTATGGCAGGCTTACACATTTCCACATCGAATTCATCACCACAATTAGGGTCTGGGTCTGGGGCAAATCAATTTATGACAAATAACCAAGGATCAGTGGGTTATAGTGCAATGCCTATCTTAACCATAGAAAATCAGTTGGCCTTTAGGCAATTGATGGATGACAGTAACCATAATATGATAGGAGTATTAGCACAAACTATGCAGGAGATCTTTGCCCCAATAGTACAAAATGTGACTGTGAGAAACAGAGAAAACGCAGATAACATGAGTCGAATAGCAAATTTCTTCGCTCCCCCAGAAAGGCGTAGGCAGAATCAGGCGGGGGTTCGAGCGAACGTACCTATTATAGAACAATTTGCTAACGACCCACCCTATAGACCAGCCAGAGAGGAGGTTAATTTGGGGGCAAGGGCACAAAGGCTAGAAGCCCCAATGATCCAAGGCCCACAAAGGGAAATTATGGAACCAGGGGCAAGGGTCGAAAGGCTAGAAGTCCCAGAGTTTCGAGAAGAACAACCTAAAGGGGTTGTCATGGTGGGTCGAAATCAAGATGCTGATGCAGTCATTCATAGAATTCGAAACGATAACATCTTGGCAGAAAATAACTTAACCACCATGATAGAGAGAATCATGGCCCAGAATGGCCTCAACACAGGAATTCGAAGGCCAAATTATGCCTCCCCTATATTATATTACATAATGCACACTGATTTACCAAGGGGATATAAAGTCCCTAAGTTTACAAAGTTTGCTGGGGATACCAATGAATCAACAGTCGAACACATAGCCAGGTATTTAACCGAAGCAGGAGATATAGCCAATAATGAAGACCTTAGGATCAAATATTTCCCAAGTTCCCTGATTAAGAACGCTTTCACATGGTTCACCACTTTACCTCCTGGATCCATAGATACTTGGGCTTTGTTGGAGAGATTATTCCATGAGCAGTTCTACATGGGACAATCAAAAATAAGTCTGAAAGAACTAGCCAGTGTCAAGAGGAAGTTTACTGAACCCATAGATGATTATCTGAATAGATTCAGTCTCTTGAAATCTAGATGTTTTACAGTAGTTCCTGAACATGAGTTAGTCGAAATGGCTGCTGGCGGCCTGGATTACTCTATTCGAA